GACCTCAAGGAAATTATTAGTAATAAGTTGACAGAAAATGAGAAAACTTACTGATATCCAGAGAAAAAGGGACCTATTATATAGTGGTAGAATGTCTAACAACAGTGTTGTCTGTGATAACTTGGAAAAGAAAAAAGTTGCTAATAAACTCATAGATCTAGCTGAGGAGGTTTGAAGACAAAATATTTAAAATACTTTAATTGACTTCTTTTAACTGTCTATGTTGTTGTTGTTGTTATGTGCCATGGAGTTGGTTCCGACTCATAGTGACCCTGTACAGGGTTTCCAAGGTGGTAATTCTTTACAGGAGCAGAAAGCCTCATCTTTCTCCCGCAGAACAGCTGGTAGTTTCCAACTGCTGTCCCTGAGATTCACAGCCTGATTCGTAACCACTACGCTACCAGAGCTCCTTTTAACTATCTATAATTACCTATAATAAAACTATTATAACTACCTATAATAAAATGGAGTCCTGGTGTGGTGCTGTGGGCTAATGCGTCAAACTGCAAAGTCGTTTGAACTGCAAGGTTAGTGGCTCAAGCTCACCAGCTGCTCCTTAGAGACCCTATACAGGGTTGCTACAGGTCAGAATCGACTCTACAGCATTTAACAACAACAACAATAAAATGTAAGGAGTTCTGGTAGTGTAGTGGGTTACGAGTTGGGCTGCTAACTGCAAGGTAAAAAGTTTGAATCTACCAGCCTCTCTATGGGAGAAGGATGAGGTTTTCTGCTCCTGTAAAGATTTGCAGCCTTGAAAACCTTATATAGCATCACTACAAGTCAGAACCAACTCCCCAGCACATCATCACCACCAACAACAATGTAATAAAACCTGATGAGAAAGATAAACTAAAGAAGGAACTGCTTTTGAGCAGTTTTTGCGAAGAATTTAAAGGAAACATAGAGGACACAGGACAGTCTTTCCCTCCACAAAAGGCTTTTCAAATAAGAAATGCTTTCAGGAATAAGATCAAATTCAAGGTTCTGCCAGCAAAAGGTTCTCAGAGTAAAGACGAAGTCAAAGATAAATATGATCTTTAATGAGAACTCAGGAGTCCTGATGGGGCACTGGTGGTTAATGTGCTGGACTGTAAAGTCAGCTTGAGCCGCAAGCCGGGTTGTTCAAGTTTACCAGCTGCTCCTCGGAAACCCTATGCATGGTTGCTATGGGTCAGAACCGACTCAATAGCACTTAACAACAACAAATTGAGAACTCAAAAAGATTTAAAGGAAGCCTAGTTTCAGAGGGTGCAGGGGAAGGTAGAATTTCTACTGAGTGGTTTCCAACCTGTCTGGATGGGGCTGATTAAAGGAGATGGGGATAAGTCTCTTGTGGTTCAATAGTGAATAATTGCTATCAGGACTGACTGTGAGTGTTGGAAATGTAAAGGTAGATGTTTTGTAACAAAAGGAGGGGAGTGGTTGACTTTGCAGTCCAGGAGCCGAGGTTCCTAGGACCATCAAGGGAGAAGAGTGGAGTGCAAGATTCTATCCAGAGAAGCAGTGACGCCAGAGATGGAGGCAGAGACAATGATGATGATGACGTGGAGAGATGGAGCAGCTGGTGACCCTGGACTCAGGGAGGGAGAGAGTCTGTTGCGGGGTGCAGGCTTGCAGGGTGTACCCTTTGGTTGGTCGATGATGCAATGAAGTGAAATATGATAGGATGAATGTAAAGCTAATGTTCTCCTATGTAAACTATCATTTAACTCACAATAAAAACTTTAAAAAAAAAAAAAAGATTTAAAGGAAAAGCCTTGTAGATCTTCTCAGATAAACAATATTGTTTCCATTTTTTTTAAAAGCAGCAACGTATTTTATTTTAATGCATTATCAGAATTAAATTCACCAATACAGAGTTTGGAAAGTACAATCAAGAAAAGACCCCCAATTCTATTGGGACTACACAATGGAGCACTGTGGAAGGCACTGTGACTCTTAAATAAAATCAGGAAACAGAAGGAAGCAAAACAAAAGAAGTTCTTCAACTTGAGGAGCACCATGAGGCTTAGACTGTGCACAAGAAGTCGTGTAAGACATACATCTGTTACATAGCTTACAGAATAGCATGAGCACATTTTTCTAGGGAAAGGTTCTGCAGTTTTAATCAGATTCTAAAGTGGCCCCACAGGCTAAGAAATAGTATATAATAGAATTCTTATTCCCGTCTACATTGCCAACAATGATAGAATCTGGAGACTTCAGGAAATCCATTTTCACCCATCTAAGAGTAAAATTTAATGGAAAGAGGTAGAAAACAAAGCAAAAGTAACTTGCAAGAATTGGGCAAGGAAGAAACTCCAAAGTGTTAGTTATGAGTTTTTAGCCACCTGTTCTGGTTCCGATGTTTCTAATTATTTTAGAGGTGTGCCTTTTAGATTCTTTCTACCAGATAAGAAGCCTTGGTTGGCATTGTCTCACAGAACCTCAATTCTCAGTCTAAGATAGACAAAGGCCAATCTACAAGAGGTGTGTGGGTGTACCTTTTGTCTAGTTCAGTGAATTCATAACTTCATACACAGGAAGATCACACCATTTTTTAATGGATTATGTTGTCTTGAACTGAAAGGGCAGAGACAACCCAAAACAAAAGGCAGCTTTTAGGTCTTCAACTTCCTATGAGCAGGAAGTAGGCTGAGAAAGATACACAGCTATAAGCACAGACGTGTATTATGAACAAGAATTAACTCAGAAAATGAAGCCAAGAGCATAGAGTGTGGAGCCAATATTCATGAAAAACCATTCATAGGGACCAGAACCAGGCCCTAATCAATAATCCAGTGATAGGTATCTTACTCAATTTCAGAAATGCTATGAACCAATGGTCACTTTGCAACTCCGATCCACACAACCTCCTTTTTTAATGTATCTATTAAAGTTATCTATCTCTGTCTCATCATTGTATGTTGGGTGTGTTGTTCACAGGTCTTAAGACCAACAGGAGCCATACTGAGCAGCCATATCGTGCCTGAGAAGTCTCATCCTTAAATGGTCCTCACTTAGATATCCTGAACTTTAGGTTGATATCTTAATGGGATGAAACTTGGTGGAACTTGTGAAGGAGGTGAATGTATTTTGCATATAAGGTGGTGGGGGTGGTTGTGTACTGCGGAGTCGGTTCTGACTCATAGAGACCCTGTATAGAGTTTCCAAGGCTGTAACTCTTTATGGGAGCAGAATACTTCATCTTTCTCCCAAGGGGCAGCTGGTAGATTTGAACTGCTGACCTTGTGGTTAGTAGCCCAACTTGTAATCCACTACACTACCAAGGCTGTTTTTGTATATAAGGAGGGATATGAATTGCAGTTACTGTAGTTTCATGAATGCTGCTGTTCACATTAAGAGATAGAATCTAATTCTCCTCTCCTTGAATCTGGGCCAGCCTTAATGACTTGATTGATCAATAGAATGATGCAGAAATGTTTTTGAGCTTTCCAAGGCTAAGTCTTAAGAATCCTGCCAGATCTTCCATTTCAGTACATTGGAATGCTCACTTTTGGAAGATGCTCTTTCAGAATCCAGCTGCCATACTCTGAGAGGCCCAAAACACATTGTGGTGGTGGTGGTGTGCACGGAGTCAGTTCTGAATCATCGTGACCCTGCATAGGGTTTCCAAGGCTGTAAATCTTTACAGGAGAAGAGCCTCATCTTTCCCTTGCAGAGTGACTGGTATATCTGAACCACTGACTTAATGGTTTGCAGCCCAATGTATAACCTACTATGCTATCAGGGCTCCTTCCCAAACAGGATAGAGAGGTCATAAGTAAGCATTCCAGTTAACAATCAGTGTCAATTTCCAGGGATGAGTAAGCTATCTTGGAAACTGAGTTAAGCTAAACTTTTAAATGACACTCACTCCAACTTGGGTCAGCAACCACATGGGAGACCCCAGATGAGAACCACCTACCAAGCCCAGTCTACCCACAGAACCAGAAGAGGTAATAAAATTATGTTCTAAGCCACCAAGTTTTGGGATAATTTATTATATAGCAATAGATAACCAAAACAGCATCTAAGAAGCACTGAATCAAACCTAAGCTGACTACTCCAGACTTCTAGTGGAGGATATTTAAACACAACCACTGTTGTCAGGTTTTACTGTAACTTTTAAGTTCATGTTTCTCTAAATTGTAGAGAATTTGGGATCCATTCATAGGAAAGTACCCAAAATGTGGAATTCAGTGAATAGAGGAAAGAAAGCAATAAAATATGAAGACCTAAACATTGCAGGCTGGAAAGTTGGCAAGCTTTGTCATAAAGCAAAATATATGGTCAAACTGTTATCTAAGTACCTAGGCTATAGATTTATGGGAAATGGTAGAATGTTGAAATGAGCTGACTCCTTGTAGCTTTCATCAAAGACCAAGGGGAAAAGAATGAATTCATGCTAGAGCTAGGTAATCTGAAGCAGATATTAAAAGAAACACTGTTGTGTGATTTAAAAAAAGAGAGAGAGAGTAGAGAGAAGAAAGAAGAGGAGGTATACTGCCTGTGGCCTGAAAACTAACAAGAACTTCTCATAATGAAGGCTTGCAGGATTGGTTAGATCAAATAATGTCTCTTGAGCAGATCCTACAATAACTCATTGCTCATAGCACTCAATGTGAGATCTGTACTTCCTCTTTGGTTGGAATTTTCTCTTTTTAGATAATGATAGTGTCGGTATATGATGCTTGCCCTTTTAAATATTTTTTATTTAGGAAAATAAAATGTTGGCAACTCATCTCAATTTCTAAAATGTTCCTTGAATTTGAAATCCCAAAGTCTGAAATCTAAGGCCTTAGGAGATTTCCAGAAGGAAAACCAGGACCCAGAAGGAGATGAGATCTAGGAGGCCCTCAGTTTCCAGCATTCCAACTGAGCCAGTGAGGATACAGAATATCATTCAGCAACTAAAATATTATCTTGAAATAAAAATGTTTATTTAGTACAAAGCTAAAAGGTTAGTGAATCCTTCTGGGTCTAACAGACCAATGGGCAGGGAGTCAAAGGCTGTTTCAGGAATCTTTTGTATAGTCTTGGAAGAAATCGTTGCACATCATAGTGATAAGGGTCAGAAAAACAGTATACTCCTGGAAGTCCACCTCCTGGTCACTGTTCTCATCAAGTTCACACATCAGCTTCTTCAGTCCCTCCTCATTCACCTCCTCCTGAAGGAAGATAGAATGTGGTCATCATCAAACTGACCCCACCCCCACCTCTATACGAGCAAGCAGGTATCACACACACTGACCAGTGCCCAATTTCCTCCCCACTGAACAGTGGGGTAAATGGTAGGCAACTTCTAGGAGCTAGTAAAAGGGCCCAGTGAATCAGGCCATGTAGATATTGATTGGTGAGAGTCTCTAACCCTGCCAGGTACTCTTCCGAGCACGGTATCAGCTCATCTTCATAGGAACCCAATGACTAAGTATCATTGTCTCCATTTGGCTGAAGGAACTGAAGTTGACCCCCATCACCAGCAAGGCAAATTCAGAAAAGATAAACTCTTTTGTGTGTGAGTGTGTGTGCTTTATTGTTGTGAAAACAAATACACAGAAACATTCACTAACATTATCACTATCTTTTTCCAAAATATCCCACTACCATTAGCATAAATTCAATGTCACCCAAACAAAAAGTTACCTCTTTCTCCCTCATATTTACTTATTTCATTCAAGTGAGATCATATAGTATTTGTCCTTTTGCAATTACTGCATAATGTTTCTAAGGTTCACCTATGTGTGGCATACACCAAAATGGCAAACTCTATTTAATCCTAGCTACAATGAAACCAAATTAGAAAACTTTAACCAAAAAAATAAAAAGAGAGAAGGGGAATTAAAAATGACATGCCTCTTATATTCAAAGCCTGTCACCTGACTTTGGATTTATCTATGAGTTAGTGTGGTGAGGGAGTCCTGGTGTGGCACTGTAGGATAAGTACTGGACTGCAAGGTCAGTTTGAACCACAAGGCTGGTGGTTCAAACACACCACCTGCTCCTTGGAAACCCTATAAAGCTCACTATGAGTTGGAACAGACTCAATGGCACTCAACAAGAAGAAGTATGGTGAGGATTAAGTTGAGAGTTAACTACATCTCTCTGCAGAATGTTCCAGTGTGCACATCTTGTTGTTGTTGATATGTGCCGTGGAGTCAGTTCCGACTCATAGTGACCCTGTACAGGGTTTCCAAGGCTGTAAATCTTTACGGGAGCAGAAAGCCTCATCTTTCTCCCGTGGAACAGCTGGTAG